CCCCACCCCACCCATCTCTAAGAAAAGGAGAAAAAAAAAGCAAAGATGCAGCGTAATATACGGTACAACCATCTCACCACTACAAAGGTCACCACTAATGTTGTTGGGTACAGCGTTAAGCCGTATCGTAGACATATTACATGAATAGCAGTAGTAAAAGGCAATACATATATCACTTTTACTCTGTCAATGTTAATTTAAACAATTATTTCAGGATACACACATTGATAAAGTGTAGTGAATGTAGGACCCGCACTGTATTCTGTATCAAAACTAGGTTGTTTGTAGTCTGTGCGAACATATTATGCCACATTCTTTGCAGACGTAGGCAGAAGGACATGATCCGTAACTTTCATCATTTTTTTTTAGGCTTTGGGGGGAAGGGGTTGTATGAACATACAGAACGGAAGTGTTTTTGCGTAGCCACAAGAAGAGAATAGATGGAGTCCATAATCAAGAATAAAGGGAACGGGAATACCCACGGAGCAGGTAGCAGCCAACACGGAATGTATATAAGACTCAAGGACTACTATACTCTTATTCCGTCTTGGGTAGCAGGTAGCAAATACGCAGACGCGCGCCTCGGGAATACCCACTACAAGTAGTCTAAAAATAACCTTGATAAAGTTGTTGCTTACAGAGTCTACCATCTACCTTTTCTTTTTCCCGTTGGTCCCCAGTACCATGTCTGATACTGACAGGGCAACAGATTTTCGGTATACATTGCACCCCGGTACTTAACGTTTATCAATCCAAACAAGACAGCTTTGATCCTGCAAGTCAGGAGCAGTCCGTGTTGAGTGGGACACAACATCATCCAAAGCCGCAGGCGGAAATTTTAATGTTTCATTCATTAACTTTACTTCTCAAACAGACTCAAACTTAAGTCTTCTGCTTGCAAATGTGAAAAGGTCACATGTAACAATTATGACAGACACCAATGTACATGTACATACGGTAGTACAGGTTTAGTTTTAGTAAGAGTTTTACACGGCACTTGCTACACAATAAGGTCATATAAGTGCCGGAGATTAGAGGTGCTACAAGAGAGTAACAAACATAAAAAAGGAGAGGAGATAAAGACGATAGACGTTTGATAGGAAAAAAGAAGCAAACCACACCAGAGCACCCGCCAACCACCTATTAGTACAGGCTTAACATCCCTAAACACTGTAAGGTTATTGAAAAAGCAGGACCTCAAAACTTACCTTCTATCTCCAACTACGATACTACCAAAGTGAGTGGCAAGCCTTGTGAATTGCCTAAAGGAAAGATCCAAGAATTGCAGGTGTGTGGCTTGTATCATGCTATTTGCCCTGAAGTCCACTGCACATGTACATGTAATACATGCACCTACTGAACTATCGCTATCGGAGTTCTTATGCACTCCACGATACTCCATCCAATCATGAAAAGATTCTTGACCATTTAAAATTCAAAATTTTAATTTGTTTCAGTAAGCGTTGTGTGGCACTTGCAACACAATACGGTCAAATAAGTAACAAAAATTAGAAAGAGAGTAACAGACACAAAAAGGAGAAGAGATAAGGACAACAGATGTTAATAGGAAAAAAGGAGCAAACAACACTAGAGCACCCACCAAACACCCATTCAGATTTCAGAAAACACAAACATATAGCACTGTTACTATCCTATCGAAACAACGAACTAAAAGAAAAGCAGACTTATACAACAGTCTCATACTTCATTGTGGGAGAAAGCAAGCATTAGTAATTAGTAAGAAAGAAAAAGCAGAGGGCTGGCTACAACAAAGTAAGACTAATAAACAACCATCCATATAAGAAAAATTCCAAGAAACAGTGAGTTTCAAAACACAAAATGAAGTATCAAACATTACAATGTACATATATACACACACATACACTATATATTCTCAAACAGTACAGAAAAAGAAGAGAAAATCGTTTGTGAATTTAATATAAATTCATTTTTTATTGCATTTGACTCATTATCATCAAGTGACAAAACAGCTGTAACAAAGGCAAACTAAGAAGCAACGGTGGGGCCAGACTGGCCATCTAACCCTCTTCCATTGTCATCCGAGTCAGCTGACTGAGGTACAGCTGCCCTACAGCAGCCTCTATCGTCTACCCCAAAAGTACCAAGGTACAACAAGTGAACACAACATGGGCATCTCGATCCCATAGGGAGAGAAGCTCAGCACACATTCACTTCTCGTGCAACTTCCCAGCACTCGAGAGAAGGACAAAGACAACTAGTCAGTCCCATTGAATAATAATAAGAGTTAACAGAAACCAACTCTACAGACGCTGACAACAGGACGATACATTTGTACTCAGATTTAAAGTACTACACGCAGCATCTGGAATTAGAATCTGTTAATTTTCATTTCATTTTTTAAAGTCTTTTTCTTTCTTTTTGGTTTTTTACTAGAGCAGCGTGCCAGACTGCCGCTAAACCCCTGGATTACCCCCAGGCGACGGGGGGCTCAAGCCTGTGGTGCCATTTGACCCATGGCTGGGTGGAGACGATATCCAAGCCTCCAGAAAATAGATCCCGCATACAATTTGGCCTGTGCCCAACTTACAAAAGCACAGTACCCAGGGCTCACCACGAGGAGGTAAGATGCGAGTCTTGACCACAGGCAAGCAAAGGCTGGGCCCGGACAGGAAGACAGAGAGAAGCCACATTGTCCAACCCATCCCAGCTGCTGGCCTGTGACCCTTCCAAAATGACCCCGGGAGATCATCCTGAACGAACCCCATAGAATTACATGTAATTAATTAAATGGCACAGAATCCTTTATTAAAAAATGTATGTGTGTCTTAAACGTATGTTGAGAAAAACGCAGTGTCATATCGGTACTAAACACACTCTCGCGATGTGAGAACTAGTCTAGCAAACTGTGTTATTATCTAGACTAGATCTAGTTATTTTGTTTTAGTAGAGGTTTTACGGCGCTCGCAACTGCATAAGGTCATATGAGCGCCAGAAGATTACAGGTGTTACAAGAGAGTACCATAAATAAAAAAGAAAAAGGGGAGATAAAGACGATAGATGTTTGATCTCTACCAGAGAGCCATCGCTCAAGGTATTCCACCACCACCATAAAAGGAGGCATATGCCCACAAACCACGAAGTAGCAGAGGTCATAAAACCACTGTATGAAAAAATGTCGAGAGATGATCTGCTCTTATGCTGTGTCCTGCAGACAACCCAAAATGCAAATGAAAGTGTGCATGCGTTCACCAGGGCATGATCCCCAAAGCATGTTTTTGCAACACAGCCACACCTTGAGGTTGCTGTTTCCGTTAGGGTGGGGGAATTTAACATTGGGTCCTTCAGCTGATGCTGAACCAGTGAAGTACACCAAACTGTTTGAGGGGTCAAATGTCTCCATTTATAATATAATGCTTTTATCTTGTGGTGCCAAACTGACCACTGTCAAAAAACATTACGACCACTTGGCATTCAGAGTTGACATGTTTGACACTAATTATTGGCAGTATCCTCAATCTAACCAGGAACTATTCCATACAAACAGAAAAGAGTAAGATTCCCCTTCTCAGTCTATGAAAACTCGATATCAACGCGATAATATTTGCCGATCTTACGGAGTGTACAAAATGTTCAGAATTTCAACAAATTTAATCTGAGTGTATTGCATTTAATTCACTTCTAATTTCCAAAGTTCCGGATCAATCTCAACAAGCTTTGGACCTTGCACTGATGACATACTTGTGTTTCATGTGTACAATTTTCTTAACTGTCGGAAGAACAGTCGTTGCAATATTAAGTCACTTACATCTAATTCTCATCCAGTGCCTTGTTATTTGGCCCGTCAACTGTGTACGCTGTATTCTATGCTGTTCGTAGTTCAACAGTTCTCCGCTAATTTCACAGATTGTTGTCACTATGAAAGGTAGATATATCTGTGCTTAATTTGTATAAATTTCATCTTTGTTGATTGAACCGTGTTAGGATATTAAGTAGAATCCATTTGCCTGCGATTCATTTCTAACAGGTTCACTGAAATCTTCCACAGGAACACACACACGAGTGGCATACCTCATCGCTGAATGAACTTTGTCACGTTTGTGGGTGTAAGAACATGACTTAAGTATAACAGCAGCAGAAAAGAGAGGCTAGGACTTAATGTGAGTCATTTTGCCACAAATAATGTCATCTGAGGACCTATGACACTAAAAAGAATATCACCCCATCCTTACACAAACAATTGTAGAGCAGACACAGATGTACACATATGATCTAATCATTGTTGATAAAGCGCTCACTATAGGTTTGATTTCCGACTCTCTCAACCAAACATACAGTCAAATTCATAATGTCGTCTCACACAGTGCACATATTCCCAAAACCTCTATCCCAGCAATTCAAACAGCAATAAAAACATACATAAAGCTGTAAAGAAGACATTTTCCAAAAAAGATAATTCCCAAACAGCACATTTTAGAGCAACACTGCATTTCATTCCTAACACAACATGGCTTTGGCTTAGGCCTGCTGAGAGAACAAGGAACCGAAAGCTCTCACTAGTCAATTTCAAAAATTGAAAAGCGGGCTCAAGGAATTGAAGACAATTAGGAAGAACTACGACTCCTAATGAGCACACATTTGCTCCAGACAGCACCTTCATTGCGCATCGAGGCTGCAAGTACCGAGAACACATCCATGGCACCACAGATAAGCGTATACTGTACGAAATGTGTAAATAGACATGTGCCATTTTTAACCCTAAGAGTGCTGATCGTGACCACCGGTCGCGACGGCCCGAACTTCCGCCAAGTGCTGATCGCGTCCGCCGGTCGTGATAGACATAGGCGTAGTATAACGCGATATACGAAAAGGACAAATTACTAATTTTTATACTGCTGGCTGGTAGGCTATGAAGAATTGATTTTGCCCGCACAGGGTTTGAACGACACACGGGGAGTTTTTTATTTCACTTTGAAGTCGAGTGACAGTGAAGTTGGAAAATTCGCAATGGCGACCCCCGACGAACATGAAAATAGTGTCGCATGAGATTCAGATGAAGATGTTCTGCGTATTTTCCTTGAATCGGAAGATGAGGTTTCGAGGGTTTTGATGCAGGAGCAGTTCAGAACATAGTTGGTGGTGATCAGCTCTTAGATTTACTTCAGTTTAGCCCCGCGTGTGACGTTCCCATTGTCGAAGACGAGCAACAAGGCTGGAGTAAAGACGACGAGGAATTCGAAATACCAGATTTAACCGAGGGACCACGGTTCAGTTGGGTACTTGAAACTGTATCTAAGGAATCCTTGTTTAGTATTTTTTTCCCAGATGCAATATTCAAAAAGTTTGTGGAAGAAACAAATCGTTATGTGCAAGAAGTGAGACAAAGAAGAGGTGGCACTCTGGGAGCCAAATCTTGTCTTCACTGTGGACTGACATACTGTGTATATTTATTTCACACGGAATACGATTGTTGTGCTTTTGAAACGTAGTCTAGAATCTAGTAGAAAATCTAGAACTGGACAAAATGCCGCGGAAGTGTTGTGTTCCAGGATGCCGAGGCAACTACTCAAAGAGTGAAAAGGTGTCTGTTTTTAGTTACCCATCGGATGAGGAGAAAAAGAGATTATGGATTAGCAAAATTCCTCGAGCTGATTTTGAACCATCTTCACAATCTGTTGTGTGTGCGGCTCACTTTTGTGACCAATTCATTGTGAGAGTGGATTCTGTAACAAGACCAGACGGGAGTATTCTTACAGTGGAGAGGACAATACCTAAACTTACTGCAGATGCATATCCTTCCATTTCTCCAAACTGCCCTTCTTATCTGTCTACTGAAGTCCCAGCGAAAAGGAAAAGACCAGAAGACAGGCGTACTGAACTAGTGCAAAGGGATGACCAAGCATTCTCTAAGTGGCTAGAAACAGACAATATCAAAGACTTTGAACATTTTCACTCAAGCTTTGAAAACAGGGTGGACAAGAAATGGTAGTTCACATATCACGAAAGCAGAGATCATTTGCCTTTCGTGAGTTTGTACAGAATATGCGAATCCCAAGACTCCACACCCATTCTGACATCAACTATCAGGGTCTTCAGCGATCTTCGTGTGCAGATCTTCACAGAAAAACATGGTGAGCAAAAGTTACTAGATCTAATTCTGCAAATTATTTTTGATTCTTTGCAGACTCTCCATCACCTGTCATCTCATCTCTCTCCTTTTGTCCCCCCCCCCCTCTCTTTCTCTGTCTCTCTCTTCCTCCCCCCCCTCTCTCTCTCTTTCTGTGTGTGTTTCTATGGTTGTGTGTGTGTGTGTGTGTGTGTGTGTGTGTGTGTGTGTGTGTGTGTGTGTGTGTGTGCCTTCATGCGTTTTCCAAGTCCCTCTCTCATGTCTACCCTCCCCTTTCTCTCTCTCTCTCTCCTACCCCCACCCCCCCTGTGCGTTCCCGTATGTCCACATGACTACCATGCCATGCCATAATAATATACTGCGTGTACAGTTTATCTTTCAAGCTCAAGAATACACATTAGCCAGTTACAAAAATCCTCATCCTGGTATTATCATACGTGGTCATTTCATATGATGACTTCATGATGTTGACTGTTATATATATATATGGAAGTTACATTTTAATTCTAAAACAAAATTTAAGAGAGGTTTAAGACATTTTTTGAAACTGTCGTCGAAATGCACTAGGTCAGTGCTCCTACTAGTATTTATTTCAGTCCCATCGCTTTTGACATTGTTCTTTGAGGTATAGTACAGGATGTAATGTTTAGTATCCTGTTTACAAACAACATCAGAGGCCTAAGTTATGGCCCACAGTTTTTCGTTTTTTGCTTGCCTGTATGTAAGATTTCCATTATGTTCTTGGTGATTATATCTTTTAAGAGTGCAGCATCGCATAAATACAGAAAACTTGATAGGTCCGAGTGGAACCAGTTAGGCTCCATGGATAGTTTTCTTTTATAATACATTTTAAATTAATTTTAATTGGAAAGATATAAATCATCCATATTATGTCAATATTTCACAGGGCGGGTGCCAGACAGTTCAGTGAAGTGGCTTTTTGGGCAACAGTCCTCTCCTATGCTGATATCATGGTCACAATTTGATAGTCTACTATCTCACTATGCAAGTGACAATAGAGAAAACAAAGACAAGAAACAGCAACTCAATTTCTTTGTTGACACCATGCAAGAATTAGCTCACGACATTGCAGGCGACGATGCTGATGACGACAAAGCCCAAGCCCTCAAGGAGAAGGTAGACTTCCAAGCTGAACAAATAAAGCTGAATTTCGCGAGTGTGAAAAAGTATTCCTGTGAGACATTACTTTGGGCTTTTCGTGTATGTGCTACAGCTCCTCAAACGTTGAGGAACACTGTTCTGACTCTGCCACATCCCTCATATCTGAAAAGGCTCTCATCTACCTTCCAGATCAAAAGTGGGTTTGAGGATGGGGCTCTACAGCAGGCCTACTTGGAGAAAAAATGCCAGAACATGACAGACATCGAGAGAAACGTTACCTTGATGGTAGATGAAATTCATGTTGCCCACCAATTGTCATACAAGGAAGGCAAGCTGGAAGGGTCAGCCACAAATAGCAGTGTCGCCGAGGCCAGTACAGCCCAAGTGTTCATGATTTCCTCCTTGGTGTCAAAACAGAAGGATGTAGTGGCTATAGTGCCAGTAAAAAACACAAACGCCAACTGGCTACACGTTATGATCACAAATGTGCTACGTGTCTTACACAGCAGTGGGTTTACAGTGGTCTCTGTCATTTCAGACAACAACAGAGTCAACAGGAATGCTTTCACTGCCTTGTGTGGAGGAGAGCTCAAACCACAAATCGAAAACCCCTTTAAGGAAGGCGAAAATTTATTCTTTTTTTCCGACACAGTACACCTCTTCAAATGTCTCCGCAACAATTGGCTTGCACAAAACAACATGGAAAAAACCTTCTCGTTCCCAGATTTGCAAGGTCAAGGGGAAACAATGAAAGCATCATTCTCCCACCTTCAGAGACTTTTTGAAGAGGAAAAATCGTCTCCAGTGAAACTTGCTCCGTCCCTCAACTACAAAAGCCTAAACCTTAACAGTGACAGAGAAGCAAAACGTGAAGCTTATGTTGAGAATTTTTTATCAAAGAAACGTTGCTGCTCTGGAACATTTTGGACCTGGTTGGCAAGTCGACACTCATGGTACAAGACAGTTCCTGACTACTGTAATTCGGCTGTGGAACATAGTGAATGTAAAGCAGCCATACAAGAACATCAAGTTGAGGAATGCAGACTGTCGAGCCATCTCGTCATGTTCTGACGAAAACTTCAAACAGATACAAGTCGTCTGGGAGTGGCTCTGTGAGTGGGAGAGGATGGGGTTGAAGCCAAGACAAGGCACACTGTCATCTGAAACCATGACAGCGTTAAAACATACTCTGGACGCATTTCTCCAGCTATGCCAATATTTGTTGGAGAAGAAAAACTTCCACTACGTCTTGCTGGGAAAATTTCAAACTGACAACCTGGAATTTCGGTTTAGCCAGTACCGGCAGATGAGTGGAAGTAACTACCATGTGTCAGTACAGCAGCTTCTTGAGGGCGAGAAGAAACTCAAACTGTTGACTGTACTCAACTTGATGTCTGCCTCAAATGGTGCTCTCAGTCTGAAAGACATCATCGAGCCTCTCGAGGAAATTAAAAGCCAACAGAGTGCTTCACAAACGGAGGCTGAGTAAGACAATTTTTCACACATACTTGGTTGTTGCCAAGACATTGATATAAACACCGAGCAGTTGAAGGCTCTTGTTTTTGTCTCTGGCTACTGTGTAGCAAAAGCCTTACGCCAGATCGACTGTGTCAATTGTAGAAGTGACCTTCACTGTGAACGTCAGCTGCGTGTGGAGGTTACAAATGATTGCCACACGTACTTGTCAGCTCTTGATAGATGTGGTCTCACATGGCCTTCTGACTTTGCAGTTGTTTGAAGTTGTCACTCAAGTCTTCAGGGTATTTCAGACCCTCATCGGCACTGTTGAAAAGGAGCAACAATTCCCCTCCTGCAGTAACTAAAGGAAGCTTGTCCTCAGCTTGTCCCTCCAGAGTTTAACCGACCTTGGCATGACACAAAAGCCCTGGGACGAATGTGAAGTTCACTACTCAGAAATATTGATGAAGTGCTGCAGACCAGCTGTCAACATTTTCCTGAACAACTATTCTAAAGGCTTTACAGACAGAGCAACAGCAGGAAACAAGAGCAGGAAACTTAAGACGTTCACAAAGAGAACGTAGGAGCAACGTTGAAAGGACAGCATCTTATGGTCACAAGTCAACAGTATTATACAGCAAGTAAGTTTATATTTTCTTTAAATGTTGCTAAAACACAAATTAATCACCCCTCTCTCCCCACCCCCACACACTCTCTCTCTCTCTCTTCCCTCTCTCTACAACGTGAAACTACTAGAATAGTGAATGTTGTAATGCATATTGTACTAACAGCTGACTCTTTAACACACCACACTCTTTATCTGCATGAGTGTGTAGCACAACATAATGTAGTACTATGACGCAATAATAATTTACAGCCTAGCCACTGTGCCGTAGAGTGGGAAACGCTAGGCCCGAACGCTTGTATGCAAGAGAGCGAATGCCGCGAATCGTGACGTCCCGCGCAGCGGTGTCGGGCCATGTTATCACGAAGGCCATGGTCTGACTGTGACCTGACAATGAAGACTGTAAAAATCAGTCTGTCCGTTTATTTTTTAAAAATCATCTTTGTTTGTGATAACCAACCAATGATGGAAGCCACATTCCCCCTCTTTTAAACTACGCTTTCTTTTACTTCTCCGTAATAGAAATTACACAGTCTTAAACTACACCTTCTGAGCCAGCACCTCGCAAGCCAAAAGTTGAGGACCAACAGTTGAATCATTTTCTCAAGAAAGATAACATTTCATCATTTGCTGAGTTTCGTACCGATAAGGAATTGACCAAAACGTATGAGAATATTGTTATTTCTCATAGAGTGGACAAATTAGTGTGTATTTTCATGCTACGTGATTTCAGTGAGAGCTACCTGACAATAATTGTTCACAACAAGTCGACTTTGGATTCACCTCTGACATTCTCAGCGTCTGAGAATCGAGTGAGTCTGCCTTTGGGGAAAATTTTTAAGCCCAAACAATAGTCTCAGTTCTTATTCTCAATTTACGAATTTTTACTAAACAATAAACAGGAAGGATAAATCAACATAGGTGATTGTACTCTCATTCCCCTACTATACGCCACAGTTTGAGAAAAATTGGTTTAAAAAACAGCCTAGGGTCTCTGTGGTCAATTTTGTATCATCATGGAGAATCACTTGGCAGGAAGTGAAAAAAATGTAAAACAAACCAGGTTGCTACAGTGGAGATGAAGTTGAACATACATAACAAAACAGCCACCACTGAATGTAAACAGGAAAGGGTTAACGCATCAAAAGTACAAAAATACTTATTTGTAACAATTGCGTGAGAAAAAAACCCAACCTAACTAATGATGAAACTGTGCTTAGTCACATACAGGACTGTCCAGCCTGAGGGAGAGGTGCCTAAAAAACAAACCAAGGAAAACTTGTGTAAATGATCCCAGCCCCTTTTCACTGGTAACACTTGAGACAACGCAGGTACTTGGCTCACAGTTGAAGGATGAATTCTGGGGAGGTCTTTCTGCACCTCAACTCTGTTGCGGGGGTGTCTCCAGCCACTTTCACATATCTGTGAGTGAAGAAGATAATTTTTTTTAAAGTGAAAAAAAATTATGCTGAGTAGAGTATTGCAGTAGAAAATCTTCAAAGAAAACTCTTCAAGATTAGATGTTTACTGTTCACCCTCCCTCCCCCCCCCCTCATTTCATGTCTTGCTCATTTCATTCTCCAGGGTCCCCACCAAATCCTCGACATTTTTTTCCATTAGGCCACTGCGCGTCAAGAATGATCCCCCAAAAACCCATCTATCTATGATAAAAAGTCAAAATGTCTTTAAATGAATGCATATGTACATTTTGAAGTACAGTCGAACCTGCCTTAACGGAAACCTGTAGTGTCTTAACGGAATCTCCCCGCTCCCCCCTTGCTTGCCAACCGCACAAACCATCCTTGATCCCACCAGTTGGGCCTTTGAACCCCCCCCCCCCCCCCCAATCTCCCACTAAATTCCCCAGTCTAAGATGGAAAATGTCTTAGACGGAATTGTTTTCTGGCTCCCTTGCGATTCCGTCTGACACAGGTTCGACTGTATAGTCTTAAAACAATAGATGATTGTAATACTGGGTGACTGCCAACCCAGCTTCTCAATTTTCCCAGGGGGGGGGGGGGGGGTAATCCATTTGCCAGGGGCATGTTACATAACAATCACAGCACGTGCTCCATTTATTTATCTATCTATCAATATTATATATAGGTCTAGATATATATCATTTATATGTACACATGTAAATGTTTGTAAACACACACACACATGTAGGTACATTGTATCCAGTCAACATGTCAGTATGGCACTGGGATCTTGTGTGACTTAAGTATTTCAGTCTGTTCTGACTTATTTATATTTTCCCCTCATCATATTAGCCTACATACACTATATAAAAATGAATCCTGTTTGGAGCCTGAGAAAAGACTTAGAACCAGAATATGGACAATCAATAACCAGTCTGGATGTCATGATTCATATAAAATACACGTGAAGACAAAAAATTATTGCTCAAACTCAAAAGTAGAGTAATAACTTGAATGGCTAAAGTAGACCCATTCAGGGTGAGAGGTGAAAGAATTGAGGGAGGGCAAGATATCATGACACTGAAAATCTGCAAATCTTGAACAGAAAGCTAAAATATAGAATAGATATATACTATCACCCCATCCAATGAAACGCGAACACTTTAGTTCAACAACAAGGCATGGCGGATCCCGATTCCACACAAGGCCTGCACCAACGCGTGCTTTGCAGAGAGCTCTCATAGTAGTAATCAAAATTCTAAATACTAAAAATTTACTTCCAAGTTCAGTTTTTGTCCTCTAGCGTTGCCTTCAGCCCCCCCCCCCCCCCCAAACCTTCCCCAGAGTGCATCTTTTAAAAAAAATAAATAAACCCAACCCCCATTCCGAAGTCCTATACTTCACAGAGCTCAGACCGCCACTACTCACACAATGCCTTATCATGTGCGAACGCGCAGGTTCACTGCCCTGTCGTGATGGCGAGCCTGACAAGACGCTTGTATAACTTTCTTTTCTGTTTTTTTTCCCCACAAGTGACAGCACAGGACAAATATTGATTTATTTTCAAGGCAACACAGCATTTGTAGTGCACAACCTGCATGTTACAATGTTACGTTTCTATCAGACTATTACCGGAAAATTTCTGGGTGGTAACAAAAACAAAAGTAGATCTTGATTCGTCCCCATCGAGCCTTGGTGTCACACACACTTCTGCCTGCCGCCATAGCCGCCTGTTTGCGTGAAACATACTCTTACACCGGGAAAAGTCGAATGAATATCACAATAGCGACCGGCTAAAATTAACTTAAGGACGTTATCAGATTTGGTTTTCAAATATTCAAGAACTTTTATGTATTTTTTTGGGTCGTTCCCAAGGCAATTTACAGATTTCCTCAAATTCCTGGGGCATTCCAGGGTCTCTGCCATTTTCTTCAAATTATCGGGTAATTTCCGGGGCCTGGCAGTCACCCTGTTTATAGCTTACTTCACTTAACAATGATATCTCACCTCTGTATTCCTTGCCATGAGTTGATTCAATTATGTCTCCTCTTCATGATTCATCAACCATACTGTCTAGATAGCTACACTTCTATATTACACAGGCCCTATCCTTTCCCGACTTATCACAAAATTCCCGACTTTTCCCCCGATTTCCCCTTGGTGGGGACCCGATTCTCTGCAAATGTTTTAAATTCATGATTTAAGTCACCAAACGTCATTTGATCCAATGGGGTAGCACCCCTTTTAACATTTTGCAAACAACTGGAATTCACAAATAACCTAAAAAATCACCAGTTCACGTCACATGCCAAAAATACCCAGTATACAGTTATTACAGGACCTCTCTGAGATTTGGACAAACATGCCATCTCAAATCTTTTGAAAAAAATGAAACAGCGTATTCATGGGGTCCAAACTCCTGGGACACCCCTTAATTGCTAAGGAATATCTAGAGAGTTCGGGAAAGCCAACAAATATTACACACCCCTGAGCTTTCCCTGTCACCAGTCACTCCACAGACACCTCAACCAACCAAGCTGACTTTCTTTTGTTTTCAAACAACAAGAAGCAGTAAAACAACTTTACTCGTTACAACAAAGGATAAATTCTCCTCGACTCCCAAATATACATAAATGACCTGTCATTAACAAAATTTACCTTTTGAACTTGCAGACTTTCTCTCGACTTTACATATGTGGGGGGTGTCATGGTATCATCATGCCATAGCTCTGCCACTGGCTTGGATCTCAAAGACCATACAACGCCCTGAGGGAACCCATCAGAGACGATAAACAAAACCGACAAATTTATGGAATTAGCCTGAACCTTCTACATTTAAAAAAATGAGTATACATGACACATGTCTATAAATTTTAACTTTATAAGTTTGGATGTTTAATTCATGTGTAAAAGATCCACAGGCTTCAGAGGCTATCTATTCATTTTCAGCTTTGCTAAAACCTTTCTGTTCTAAGAGAAAAATACCAAAAAGTAATACAAAGGTGAAAAAACAATTTTCAAACAGAAACCTCCAAGATCATGGACAACAATCAAGGTTGGAAGACAAATTAATCTGAAAGTCAGAAAGTGTAAAAAGTAATTTGCTGTGATTAGGGGCCACTCGTAGGTCTAAAGAATGGTTGTCCACAATGAATTAGTTATTGAGAGTTGAAGATAGTCAAGGGCATAGTAAATGAGATGCATTCTTCATCCCACCTGTTTCACAAAAATCTACTTGAAGAAGAAATCTACCCTTTGTTCTTAACTCTTTAAACTTTAAAAGTTTTTTCCACCTTTTCGCGCAGTTTTTTTTCTAGTCACTTCAACCTGGTGCACTATGTCTCATTATAACCCCAAAAGCTTGCTCCTAACTTCTAAATAGCAAAACCAAAGGCTTAGTCATTACTACAAAACTTGGAACGGGAATAGTTCTGAAAAACAAGAAACTAGCACTAATTGAAACAAAACAGTTGTCACTAGTACTGGACGCTGCCAGTATCTGATGGGGAACAGGGTTATTACCGCTGGACGCTCCCAGCATCCAATGGAGTTTAAAGAGTTAAGCTGTAGAAAAGGTGTCCATTATTCTGTTGATGAAGTTGGGGATGCTGTAAATGATATCCTTGCGGATTGACATAAATGGGAGCATTCAGTTTCTCTTGTCCCATTGTAGAACAGAAGAATGTCTTTATTCGTTCTAGTGTACTGAAACTTTACACACTTCTCCGAATGCTGTGTCCAGTTTGTATTCTTTCGGAGTTTAATCAAAACACCTGAATTGGACTACACTGAGCAGACTGAAATTTTCATTGCAAAAAAATATTTCTAATTCTGTTTGTAATTTGATTTTACGCAAAACAGAGTAGTAGCTTTCTGTTAAACAAAACCAAAAGCACAGTTGGAACTGATTTTTGGAAAATGGAAGTGTCGACCACTGACAGTTCATTAATTATTCTACTTTGCTCCGAAAAACAGTCAAAAATTTGATAACTATAATTATGTCACAGGCTTCATTTGTGTTGTAATGTCTGGGGCTTCTTGGAAGTATGTTCCTCTGAAGTCTGAAGTCCAACTAGTTGACGGAACACTTTTATACTGTTTCTAATTTCCTCCAAGGCTGTATTAAACTTGTCTAGAGCTTGTTGGGCTGCTGGCCGTTGTACTTCTGTGTTGGAGGATCCCATACACAATGTCAACATGTCATGAGTGAACACTTTGTTAAAAAAGCGCAAAAAGGAGAAACCATGCATTGTTAAGTGCCACAGATAAATAAATGGCCGTTTAGGCACCTACGAGAAACTTGCACTTGTCTCAAAAATCAATTATTTGGATAGTGGATGTTGCCGGTTGTATTATTATCTCTTTGTGGAGGCTTTGCGCAATAAAACATTAAAAACTTGGAGCAGCACTGCACATCCATGCTCAAGGGCAAGCCTGGCTGTGACTAAAAACCATCATTTGACCTAAAGATGTGTGACTTTAGTTCAAAGAAATGACAAACAGTTGAAACAGTCACAAACCATTGTGTCGTCAAGGAGATCTTCAGATTGAGGGAAACACCAGCAATATCAGCCTTGACGAAAGTCCAAAAGTGTTGACCATGGTATAGTAAAGACTTCCATCTGTTTAGAGTAAAACATAGAGGCATATAAATATATATATTCATTAATTTTCATGTAACAGAAAACCTTCAATTGACGGAAAGGTTGCAAATAAGATCAGAAGCAAAAAGTAGAAAGCTTATCATTGATCTGCAAACATCATGTCCCGGTATCACATTTTAAAAAAATAATACAGCCCAAGGAGCACCAGCAGTGAAATTTTAGCTTTCAAACCAGGGACTGCCTGTCAAGCCTATCTTGTACCGGTCATGGGTGTCGGCTTGGCTAGTTAAAATAAATGGGTAGAGAGTAGGAAAAGAGGTGAACGTAGAAAATTTTTAGAGAAGAAAATTTTCTGTCGCTGTCCGTGTCAAACCCTGGATCTATAGAATGAAATTATTATTAAAAGATACAGTATTTTTTTTATTCATGGACCCATCTCACGTTCAGATATTCTAAAACACTACCCATGTTCATTTTTTTCTGCTTTACACAAATTTTGACTTATAATAATATCCATTGCAAATTATTAGTTTCTTAGCTATTGGATATTTTTATACTTAAATTATATCACAATATGACAAATGGCGTAGTGGTATTTGACTTGTTTTTTTAACGACATGGGGGTTTTCACTTCCTAAAAAGAATCTGAGGGGTTTCAGGGGGGCATATTTAAAACAACTGATATGAAAAGGTTTTAGTGGCCAAGTATCATGTGCGTGTTCCGTAGCAAAAATTATGGCAGTTTAGCCCCCAAAACAGTGCATCTGCATGCAAGTCTAAAAGTAAAAATTTACCAAAGATACATATAATGGATGTTTACGAAAACTATTAACAAACGCAGTGACTATGTTCACGGTGCCATGGCACCCTGAATCATCCACAGACCTGCCACTCTATGCAATCTAAAAATCAGGACTTCAGAATAAAAAAATCAGGAGCTGGTGAAAAAAATCAGGGTCAAAGGCAAATCAGTCATAAAAGGCACTGGGGAAGGGAGGGGGGGTTGAAATAACGTGCCGTGAGTCGTGAGTCAACAATTAGATCCCGCATTGATGTTTTAGCAGTAGCAAAAAGTAGATCTAGATCTAGTTCCGACCCAATCCGTAAATATGTTTTTGCAATCCTTAACGAGCATTTCAAGTTCTCATTTCAATTTCCCGAACAGCTAAAGTTACACTTTAAGCATTTGTGGGGTCGCTCAATTCATTTTTCAAGTCTAGAAACCCCAAAGCCCAAAACGCCCGTTTTTGTCTTTCTTGACCAATGCGTTCTATAGAGGGAGCCATCCCTTCCATTTAGATCTATACCCGTAGTATAATCCCGAAACCCCCGCGCATTCATCGGCCGCGATGGGGCCTTCGGCCGCGATGGGGCCTTCGGCCCCGCTGACCCGATCTGCTTGGATCCAGCCCAAAGTTGACCTAAAACATCGCCCATATACCAGAATGGAAAATGGACTCAAACTGGAGTCAAAGAAAAACGACAAATTATATAGATTTCTAACTATAACACACGTACCTTAGGAGGGGATGGGGTAGATCTACCATTGGCCATTGGCATTGGTGGGACAGGTGGAGGAGAAGGTTACTTCTTGTCACGTGGGCTTGCTCGGTGTCCCCATGGATCTCCCTCCACAAAAACTCGTCCAGGTGGGAATCTTAAGTTGTCCAGTGTACTCCTGCCAACTGCTTAAATCGTCTTTTATAATTTTTCCAAAAGCATTCGTCCCTGTTCGTGCAAGCGCCGATGACAGGGTCGACAAAATTCCTGTCGTGTGTATGACAGGTCAGGTGTTGGTATGGTGGATTTAGTAAGGCAAGTTTCCTATTCCAACATATCCAAGTAGTGCCTAGAGAGATCTAAATCTATCTACAACTATTCAACGCTGAGCCTGGTGTCAGATGCCGAGTATCGCTTCTATCATGGTGTTGAAAAAAAGCCATTCAGGCTACGCTACCCCAACACAGGAAAACTTAGCGTCGGGTACCGCCATTTTGTTTTGAATGACAGACAACAACAGTACAACAGTACAGTCAGCCAGACACAGTCAGAGACAAAGAGGCCAAAGGTCAAAGGCCAAAGGCAAAGATTACGATCTTTGCCAAAGGGGCACAACAATTAAAAATTGCTCCTGGCCTGAAACAAAAGTTATGTTTTCTTGAGGAAACTGATTTTTTAAAGAAATTTTAGAAATTAATCAAATGAAATGAATTTGCATTGACATATTGATCTACCTGTATTTCATGTTCAATTCAAGGTACGCACAAAAAGAAAGCTTGCTCGCGATAAAGCGATTGCGATAAAGATAAAGTGAGCGCTTGTGAAGAAAGCGCAATTGCTTACACTGAGGCTGAGGTGAAGGCCTACACATTATAGTTTTTTCAGTTCAAATACATGTATGTACACATAACAAATCCAAAGACCGCATAGAAAAACCAAATTATACCTAGCAAATCCAAATATACAAATGACGTCATAAAAAGTCCTAATACAACAATAGCAAGTTCAAATGTAAATATAGAAATCTCAAATGTAACACATAGCAATGCCACATAGCAAGTTCAAATGTAAATATGCTTGAACTAGAGTAAAAGGAGGCTGAGTGGGTGGTTGGCGGTTGCTCTGGTGTGGTTTGTTCCTTCTTTCCTATCTAACATATGTCATCCTGGTCTCTCCTCCTTCTTTTTTGTGTCTGTTACTCTCTTGTAACACTTCTAATCTTCGGCACTTATTTGACATTATTGTGTAGCAAGTGCCGTAAAACTCTTACTAAAACTAAAAAGGAGGCTAAAAGTATATATCAAGGTAAGAAGTAAAAGTGTTTGGGTTTTTTTGGCCACGAAAAGTTAGACGTAAGCCGTGTGGTGCCACAAGAAAGAACTCATGTGAAACGAAAGTAATATAGTTTTTTCAGTTCAAATATACACATAACAAATTGAAATGCCGCATAGAAAGACCAAATTACACCTAGCAAATTCAAATATACAAATGATGTCATAAAAAGTCAACAATAGCAAGTTCAAATGTAAACATAGAAATCTCAAATGTAACACATAGCATATTCAAATGCCACATAGCAATTTCAAATGTAAATATGCTTGAAATGGAGGGGGGAAAGAGGCAAAAAGTATAAGAAGTGTATCAAGGTAAGAAGTAAAAGGTGGGGCTTTTTTTGACGACGAAAAAGTTAGGTGTAATTGCCGTGTGGTGCACAAGGAAGAAATCACGTGAAACGAAACTAATTGTTAATTTTTCTTTTTTAAACGAAAATAAACCCACATACAGATACAAATGGTTATGGTACATGTAAATATCAACAAACTGCTAATGTAAATATAACTAACTGGATGAAATGTAAAGCCAAGTTTACTTTTGTTTACTTATTGTTGCATTACAAACATTACAAACCGCAGTGGCATAAATATAGGCTTCCGCTGATCTGAAGAGTACTGCCATTTTCACTATAGATCTAGTCACAGCTTTTGTTTTTTGTTTCATCAACTGGGCAAGTGTTACCATCCTTTGTTGGTGAGTCAGTTTAGTGATCATTTAGGCTCTTGCTTCAGCGAACATCTGTTTCAAATAGTATTTCCAAAACACAAGGTTTAAATGGTGAAATGGTATAGCTATTAGGTTATTTAAGAGGCAGAACCCCCGAGATCAACGTCTATATCAGAAAGGACCGATTCGAACAGTAAATTCGTGTAAAGTGCCTTTCCCAAAGACACAACGCCGGACCGAAATGAGGCTCGAACCCCCGAACCCGAGTCTCACGATTACAGGTTCGATAGCCTAATCACTGTGCTACCCACGCCAATTCGAATCCAAATTAAGAAACGTTTTCACAGATGGTAAGACAAGGTATGCAGGTGGCAAGATATTTCACCTCGAGTCTATTTGACGAAACGAAACTGTTGAATGAAGCTAAACATAAACAGTTAAAATGAAAATGAAAATAAACAAGTTTAAACAAAAAAGAATGGTTTTGATAACAAAAGCGTTCTCGTAGATGTTAAGAAAATGAGTGTAGAAGGAACGATATATATATGTCACCCCCAATCTATTGATGGGTTGCTATTTAAAGCTTGCCTTAATGCAAGAGCGTTGTTACATACAAAGCATACTTCGTTGTGGGGATTGTTGGGACAGTTTCTTAGAGGGATACGTTGACATAATAGCTACCATTCCCTCTACTTGAAAGTCGAGAAAGACCAAGCCACCCTCGGCACTGACAGCAATTTTGGAACAAAGCATTGACCACTCCGTGCTCTTCCTCGGTTTTTCTTCGTCAACAGCTTGATTCCAGCCTCATCGATTAAGGCAAATTCATACCGCTAAATTTTTATGTTCTGCATCAGCCATGCTGCATATTGATTGATGTCTCGTTGCTTCAGTCCTATCTGAATTTCTTTCCGTGGGAGCATCCTCGGGATTTTATTTTAATGTGATCAGTTCACCCTAAAAGGAACTGCTTATAGTTGTCGTCAACTCAGTTTGAGCACATTAAAATGCTCCTCACGCTGAATAATCTTTGTGGGGGATATTTGCTTTTGCTATGTGGCATTTGAACTTGCTATTGTGATACATTTGGATTTGCTATTTGCCCATTTGAACTTGTTACGCACAATCGTGCACTAAAATTTCCTATTGAACATTTGAACTTTCTATGTGGCGTGAATTACACTTTCTATGTGGCATTTGAACTTGCTATGTGGCATTTGTATTTCTTAGGTGTACATTTGATCAGAAAAAAAATATAGTTAAATTATGTCAAAAAACGAAAATAAACTCATATGTTTTAACAGAAACGAATGGTAATGATACAAATCAACACACTGCTGGTATATTATGGAACTAACTGAGTGAAATCTAAAGCCAAGTTTACTTTTATTTACTCTTTGTTGCACTACAAAACGCTGTGGCTTATAGGCTTGCATTGATCTGAAGGCTGCTGTCATTTTCACTATAGTCACAGCTTGGGTTTTTTGTTCCATCATCTGGGCAAGTGTGACCATCCTTTGTTGATGAGTCAGCTGAGTGAGCATTTGGTCTTTTGCTTCACCGAGCCACGGTTTCAAATCGTATTTCCAAATTCACAAGCGTTCTCGTAGATGTTAAGAAAAGGTGTGTATGGGGGTAGATATTTCTTCCCCAATCTATTGATGAGTTGCCATTTAAACCCTGCCTTTGTGCACAAGCGTTGCTACGGCACAAAGCATACTTCGTTGTGGGGATTGTTGGACCAGTTTCTTAGAGGGATGAGTTGAAACGAAAGCTGCCATTCCCTCTACTTAAAAGTCGTGAAAGACCAGGCCACCTTCATCACTGACAGCAAATTAGGTCCCTATGGCATCGTGCGGTTCGGTCCCCTTCGACCCTGCATTACTTGAACAAAGCATTGACTACTCCGTGCTCTTCATCGGTTTCTATTCATCAACGGCTTGCTACCAGCTTCCTCAATAAAAGCAAATTCATACCGCTAAATGTTCTGCATCAGCCATGGTGCATATTGATGTCTAGTTGCTTCAGTCCTGTCTGAATTTCTTTCCGCGGAGGCATCCTCGGGATTTTTTAAAATGATGATTAACTCGCCTTAAAATTAAACTGCTTATGGTTGTCGTCAGCTCAGTTTGAGCGCATAAAAATGTTTTTCACGCTGAATAAACTTTGTGGAGGATATTTGCTGTAGCTATGTGGCATTTGAACTTGCTACATGTATTGTGTTACATTTGGATTTGTTGTACATTTGAATTTGCTACGCACAATTGTGCACTAAAATTTCCCATTGTACATTTGAACTTTTTTTGGGGCGTGAAACTTTCTATTTGGCATTTGAACTTGCTATGAGGCATTTATATTTCTTATGTGTACATTTGGTCTGAAAAAACTATATATAGAAAGATTGCAAATCGCGCTTGCGACTGATCAGAACTTGGACATTTGGCGCCATGGCGGATTCGAGTGAAGACGAACAATTGTTGCTAGACAGTGTTTTGCCGGAAATTATCCTAGGAAAACGCAAAAGAATGGGGGTTCATGATATAAATTAAAGGAGGCGAGTGGAAGGTGAACATCACCACTTGTTTCCTTTATTTAAAAGGAGCCTTTCACGTTTTCAGCCTTACATGAGAATGAGCGAAGAGAAATTCAAATATCTTATTTTAAAAAATTGAACCAAAGATAGATCTAACCAAGAACTGCACATGGTGCAACTGGCAGTTCTTCGCTAATTATTATCTTTATAAGCACGTTTCACAACGTTGCTGTTTGCGTGGTCTTTCCTTCTTTTGTCCCAAACTGCAGGTTTTTTAAACACGGCTGATATCTATTTTAAGTCATAAGACTCGACATCCATTTCGATCCGATTGTCACTGAGACTGAGACAAAATGCAACCCGCACTTCCCAAGTCGTGACCAGACCACAAAGGGGGGCGGCACCAAGTACACGCTTTCAAGCGAGAAAGAATTAACTTTTGATTCTTTACGCTTTCCAAGCGTCGCTTGAAATGTCAGGCGCGACAAAGCGAGAGTGCTTCTTGTGCGCAACGAACGCAACAAGCAAGGGACGACATTTCAAGCGGCTGTCCCATCGCGCTCGCTTTTATCACAAGCAAGCGTGGTCTTTGTGCGTACCTTTAGGCTCTACTGTCTGATACCTCTGAAATGCTGAAACGACATCCCTGCTCCTTCTTCCGAGGCTAATCAAAGATCAAACTTTCTAACTCAACCAGCCAACCAACCAACCAACGAATTAACGGACGGACGGACGGACGAACGGATTAACGAGCAAGCAAGCTAACAACCTGCCAGCAGTGCTGAGTAACCCTCTTATACTTGAGTATAAGCACTTCCTTTGAAACAACTATTATCTACTCAATGGTTGGTCCAGTAGGGGTGGTCTCTGAACTCCCACTCTTTTACTTTTACACGTGGAAGGTGTTTGTGGATAAACGTTTATGACCTACCCCTGTGGCTACCACATCAATATTCTCATTTAAT